AAGGGTGGAGGGGAGGGGAGGGAAATAGCATTTGAAACGGGGAAAACCGCGAGGAGGAATTGACCCCCCTCCTCTCCACCATTTCTGGAGAGGGGCGGAGTATATAGTACATCCGGAACACGAAAAACCACGAAAAGTCAGGCAACCTTCCTCAGAAGGGCAGAAGTGAGAATACGACCCCCTCCTCCCAACAACGAACAAATACGACCCCCCCCTCCTTTACAACGTCCGTGAAGCAAGAAAAATCAACTATCAAAATAAATTTTCCTCAGCCCAAATACGACCCCCCTGCCAGCGACCAAATACGCCCCTCCCCCCTTTATTGGAGAGATCACCAACAACGATGTGCCTGCTTTCAGAGAGGATAATGAGTACTAGCGCACTTTAAACGGAAAACAGCTACTTTCCCGGAACCGAGATGCCGCCTGCCTCCTCAGTCACCAAAAAACACCTCCGCTGGGATTTCCATGACGGATGATTTGCCACGCCACTAATTTCTTGTAATTGATTATTTTCACAGCCAACTAAACGATCTTTGGGAAGTATTCCCTAGTGCAGATCTGCTATGGGTAAACAACTGAGCACATGTTTTCTTTGTAACTGGTTTAAATTGCAAAGAACATTTATAAAATGGAGTCCAGAAGTCACCCGAAAGGTTCAGAAATCTTTGAGACCACATGGGATAGAATTGTTTACTTTTATGTTTTTTTTTACTTTTTAACTATGTATGTTTTTACCCATGTTATTCAAGAAGAAATTACGGTGTCAACCTCGTGCCTGCCATCTGATGACGTTAAGGGCTCATCTCAAGTTGCCTGTTAAGGTTTCATCGATTTCATTGTCGAGCCAACAATGGTGGTATGTGGTGAACTGTTGACGAAAATGGTTGAACCATTGGTGTCGTTACCTCCTAGCGACAGTCTGTTCCCTCCCAACGGCGACCAGAACGAATCTACCAGTCCTAGTGCAGCACTCAGTCCGCTTCCTGATACGTAAGTTCATTTTGAATTCTAATTGGTCTGGATATTGGGCTAGGAATCCTTGCTGCCCAAATAAAGACCCCTTAGGACAACAAAGTTTGAAGTGTGCCTTTGCAAGAACCTTGTCTGCTTTATAAATCGATATGCGTCTCATACAGGCAGGGTACGTCGTAGCTGGAAATATCTAGCAGGGGGGGGGGTGTGGTGGTTGCATTTGGTCCCTCCCAATAACTGACGGCTCAGCCTCAGAGTTGTATACAACTATACAGCTACTGTTTTTGATAGTAGATATAGTAGTCGTTTTGTGGCGATCTCCTTCCCCTCCTCCCCCGCTCGAGAGCTGCTTTTTTAAAAAAAAACGGGAAAACTTAACCACGAGCTTAGTAAAACTTGAAAAAATGATAGGTAGGATAGGAATGGGAGGGGAATCGTATTTTGCGGAAAAAACTCCCAGCGACAGGGCGTGTGACGTGCCCCGGCTGTGGGACGATGCGTTTTGACTTTTGCTTGGAATTTTCGACGCTAGGACATACGTACCAAGAAGACTATCGGGCATGTTCGGTTCAGGGGGAGGCATCTCGGATTTTTGCTTGGCCCTTTGGCTAGTTCATGTTAACTAACAGGTCTCACCAAGGGAGACCTGTAAAGAGATAGTGCAGCAGCGAAATGACCTATACAAACTTTGCTGAGCATTTGGCTCCTCCATCTTGATCCCCACCAACGCAAAGTGCGCCGAACTTCCGCACCAATGAGGAAGAAAGCCTAATGTTGGTGTCTCCGCCCATCTGATCACGGTGGACTTTGTTTGTGTGAAGCGGGTTTCCGTACGATTTTTCAAGCTGTAGGAACTTATTTCAGACGAAACTCTTCATTAACTCCATCAAACTCGATCCGTCGTCTCCCGTTGAGCTACTGTGGTAAATTGGAAATTCCTACACCGTGGATGAAATTCTTACACGACAACAAAGCAAGCTGGAAAGAACGTGCTGCTAAAGGTAGGTTACTGTAGTTCCATTCACAGTACTATCTACTATAGCTCGTCCCTCACCACCTCAGACTTTCTTTTGCAGAAGAGGAAGAACGAAAGAGAGCTGAGGCTGAAAAAGCAGCTCTGGACAACGGAAATGATCAAGAAAACGGCGAACCCTAGAAGTTCACTTTTCACAGTTCACCTCCACCACTGCTCTACACAGTATACCTTTACTGATCTTTCGTCGGTAGCTTTGTAGCTGTGCGTGTGTAGAATAGATATCGATTAGCGAGGAGAATTTGTAGGAAAAATTCTCGCGGAAAAAGCTCTCCATCGTGCTACTTATCTGATTAATTTACCTGTAAAGCAATAAGATATTGGTAATGCTGAACAAGAGCGCGAGTTTGGTGGCGATTCTTAGGGTTCTCATCATGCTTATTACATTCGACCTGATCTGGCAACGTAATACGGGCGCTTAATTCTACTCCATTGTTGTAGAGGTGTAGCTAATACGATTTGGAGCGGGCACGGGTCAGGAAGCGCTATGCGGCAACGCGTGCGAGGCGACGCGAGAACGCGAAGACTCATTGTTGTCGCGCGCGGCAAGAATGAGTCATCGAGCGCCTCGCGCGAGGCGTCTGCGACGGCGCTTCCTGAACCATACCTGATTTGGAGCAGTGCGAGAGACATGTAGCTGGCAGCTGCATAGTTGAACCTGCACCTCAAATAGTGCTTAGATACTGATTTTATGTGATTTTAATTGTAAAATTATTTATATGTATAGAAAATCGCAGGATAACTTGCGAATAAATTGTATGTGTGTTCATTTTAGAATAAATCGTGATCTACTGATAGTTTTTTTATGTTTATTGATTTCTGTGCCTAGAACGCCCAATGCAAAAGTGATCAGTTAGAATTTCTGAGATTTATGGATCAAAAGGTCCACTCCGCGGACAACTCGGACTCATCGCTTTGGTCGTACCAGTTTCTTATCAGGTAATACAGGTAACCCCAACATGGGCCGTATTTCGTCGCTGGGGTGGTGGCACGTATTTGGCCTTGAGCAGTTCTTCCAAGCCGCGAGGAAAAATGTTCTTATTGCTGATCATTTTCCCCGTTTCATACGCATACCCACTCGCCCTTTCCTTTGATCGAGCCGGTTCTTTGAGAAAAACTGGTGAAAAATTTTGGAAAATCTAGTTGGGTATGGTGGTAGGTGAGTTAGAGATGGGTCGTACTTAAGTTGTTAGTTTGATAAGTGGGTAACGCCGCAGTGAGCGCCTCGGAAATTATCACAGGAGTGCAGACCAGATCAGCGGAGATGCGGGTTCGAGTCCCGTCCGGGGTCTGACTTTTGCTCATGGCTCAGTGAGTCATGGGCAAAAGTCAAACCCCTGACGGGAATCGAACCCGGATCTCCGCTGACTGGATGAGTGCACTATCCATTGCGCCAGCATCTCATCCAGTTAAATGTGTGAGTGCTGTAAGGCTGTGATCAACAGTACCTTTGAATAATCATTTCTGACCCTCGCACGAAACAGTCAAATTTTACCAGTCGATATTCCAATGCTCCCCATCGAATACTGTGGAGGTAATAGTCGCGATTGACACTAATGCAAAAGAGTGTGTTGCAAGGGTAGCGTGGTTCCCGATGGACAATCTTGTGCCAGTTTTGCGGCAAAAGTTGCAAGGTTAAGGAGTAAGGCCTGAAGTTGCTTCCAGTGAGAACTCCCTTTTCCAGTGACTTCTCCTTAAGACTCCGCCTTCAAAGTCAGCCCCAGTCAAATGCGATGCTACCGGAAAGTAGCATGGAATGGTTGCTCCTTTTTCTTTTGTCTAGCACGACGTTCTCACTAGGATCGGCCTGGTTCTAACGCGCGGATTCTTGACCTTTTACCCGTACAGTTGTTGGGCCCTATTAAAGTTGTTTCCGACGTTCCCTCTGACATTATCTCATCACAAACGAGTCACCTGATGAATTCTCTCCCACATTTCAACGCCACTACCTACGCACGTTATCGTGGACAGTGTCTTTAACTTCGGCATTCCCGACAAATAAGGCAAATTTTTGCTCGGCTAACCGATCTGATAATAAGTGGTCCGGTTAACATTTGACGGCGAATGCCGGACAAGGGTATCCGATAGGCATTCCGCCTCGTGGGAAAATACTGCCCAATGCTCTCCGACGGTATACTGTTTTAATAATGAAAACCACCAGAAGCTTGACCCCCTGAACACGAATATCCTGGACGACAGTACAACACCTCCGGGCGCTTGTGGCGCGAGCTCCAGGCGTTCCCATGTGCTGTGGCAATCGGAGGAACATGGCGACACAGAGTTACTCTTTCTAACTGCCTGCTATGAAGGAAGGCAGAGAAAGTCGGTGGCGTGGGCCTGGTGATGCCGCTGCGATGGTGTGGCGAAGGAGTGGACATTGACGGGACACTGCCACCACTGCCGTTCAATGGATTAGCCCTTGGCCAGCCCATGTTGGCCTACACTCGGTTGCGCCGAGGCATGCGGTGCTGAATGGAGTCGGTGGCACGGTAAACCAGCGTGTTTCTCGGCGACCTTGCGCCTATCTCTGGAATATCCTTTGCTACTGCTCCCTTGTGCGACTGGTTTCGCGGACTTCTGCTGTCGCTGGGTCCTTCGGCGCTTGCTGGGATCCTGCCGTGCGCGGACTCGGGCGTTGGCGTGGATGCCACCACTTCCGGTCCTCCGCTAATCGCTGGGGCACCAACTCCTCAACCCACTCCTGCCGTAGATTGTTTTTTGAGACGTATACCGTTCAGGTATTGCGAATGGTTTAACACAGCGAATTAGAATTCCCCAGACTTATGCAACTAGACGCGTACATAGCTCTTCAAATGAATTGCTCACAATGGTACAGAAAGAATGAGTTGCCCGAGAGCCTCAAAATTTTCTCCTTAAAAATATCCGAATGACCCGTGAAGTGCTGATTCCTTAGAAGAAAGCTCAGTAGGCCCGAGCAAGACGAAATTTTCCTCTCTCGAAACTATTCCAGGGAACATCATTGGTTAGAGAATTTGGTAGAGTCCGTCCGACCCTCCCTGAAATTAGCTCGATGCGACCTCCCCTAGTTGCCTCCTCATCGAGCTATCGAGGGGGGAGGGTACATTGTGCACCTGAAAAGTCGCGAAGAAAATACGACCACTTTCCCCATCCCAGTTGCCACTTTCTTAGTTTTTCCCAAGTTCTTACCAGTTTTTTCAAAATTTCCCAAAAGTTTTCCTACTTTTCTCCCAAAATTTCAGAGCCAAGTGGGGGTGGGAGAAGTAAGACACATGTAACTCAGGAAATCTGTGCTCCACTACAGAAGAAAAATTTCTTAACATCGCAAAAGCTAATTTGACCCCGCCTCACGCCAACAACGGCCAAATACGACCCCCTCCACGACCAAATTACGCCCTTCTTCTTCCCAAGCGAATCCCCATCGATGATGTGCCCTGACGCAGAGGACCCTGGGAAAACACGACTTCACATAGTGGTAGGACAACCCAATAGCGGCATAACCAAATGGGAGAATATCGTCGCAGAACATGAGAAATGGAATTGTGTCACATTTCAAACGCAATTTCGGCTCACCCTATATTCTGTATGAACGCTCTATTAGCCGAGCTACCGAGTGTCGACAACACCGCTGTTCTCTTTTCAGGTGGAACAAACAACTTCACCAACTCAATTAAGAGATTATCTCGTTTGTCAGGTTATTCGCAGGCGGTGACGCAGTGACTTGTCCACCTAATGGCAAGCTCTCAGAGATAAGTAGCGACCCTTTATTCAGTTGTAACCCTTTCCTCTGCTTGTCACTCCAAAATCTCCCCTCCTTGAAAATCTGGCATGACGAAGCTTCAAATTACAAAATTCTGACTGATTAACTGCTCAGTGTTGCAGCGGACAAATTACCGACCGTTATTTGGAAAAGTTTTGTAAAAGGCCCTAATATCCCTTCGTCCATGATTACGGTAGCTACTATTTTTCGATTAATATTTTACATCATTGCAAATCTTACTTCCATACCGTCCCTATGGATTCTTTGGCACGACAAACTACTTCACCAAAATTTCCGGTGAGTGCTCAGCATTACGTTTCTGTCTATCGTCTGGGTGTCTGCTGTTCGCAATGATGAAGAATGCTAATCGAAAAAT